AGTAGCGGCAGTCCAGCTGGTCCTTATTTTCCTGAGAGCAATTCACCTAGCAGAAGATACGGAACAAGATCGTCACTGAGTTACCTTCTTCTTCAAGATGAAAGCTGAACGTGAAAATGCTACAAGTACGATGGATTTGGTTTTGTTTGCTCTTACTAATTTGCAATTTGTTTAGACTATTCTTTTCCTTGATATTGAGTCTTCCATGTATTGAGGTTTTCAGTAAACTATACACAAATAAATTACTTCCTTTACAACAAGAAATACACAAAGTATTATCTCTGCAGCAATGTCATCATCATTCTAACATAGAAAGTGTTGAGAATTAGGAAATCTTTCATTAATATACAGGTTTCCATAGCTGTAGTGGGCAAGATGCCTGTGGGCAGCACCCAGGTAAAACCAGCTGGGTGCGAGATTCCCAACTGTAAAAAAGATGTTTGTATTGCCACAGTTCAAATGTTTACATACATGAACAATAAAAGAATTTAAACAGCAGCCCAAAGTGAGTTTACCTAAGCTGGTTCATGGAAGTATCCGGCTATGGAATATTCCACGTAACTCTAACACCAAGGTCACAAAGTCTGTTTGTCTTGCCACCTGTATACTGAACAGATGCATAGGGAGGGCTGCCACACTCCCTCCCCCAACTGAAGTAATAGTGTACGTGTACAGCAAAGCCTCCTGCAGCCCTTCGAAACTCCAGAACCTGCAACCTGCTGTGAAATGAAGGGCAAAGGAAGCTAGTTTTGTGCTTCCAGTGAATCTATGTCAAATATTTCTACATCAAATTGAGATATATTTGAAGTCCTTATTGATCAGTTTAGACAGAAAGCAATCCTGAATTGATACACGTCTAGTTTAAAAAGTAATGTATCTTTTCTCCAAATCTAGAGGCATAAGCCTTACACTGCTCAATCTTTGTTGTACAAAACCTGACAGATGAAACCTGACTCAATCAATGGGTAATGCTCCCAGATAAAGAAAAAAAAAAAAAAACCACCACCAAAAAAACAAACCAGCATGACCTAACACATTTAAAGGACAACACAATGATGATCAGCCAGTACAATTAAGCCAGTACAGACACAGGTCTACGCCAACAAGAAATAGGATACAACACCTAAACCAGCTTTTTTTGTTGTTTTTTTTTGATTAGCAGCACCTGCCATAGTCTTGGACAGTTCTAGACAATGCAATCACAGCATACAAAGAAGTTACCTGCAACAGACACGCAAACTCTGCTGTTTACTAACAACGTGTGCATGGTGCTTAAGGACCCTGGTATGATTTTGAACAAAAACTTTCTGAGATTGGGAATTAGCAATTTTATGTTATCTGTGAAGTTTTGTACTCTGCATATAAAACAAAACCAAGTTGTCTCTAGTAAAACATTCAGCAAATGACTCTTACCGGTTCACACGTTTGAACTGTTACTCTCCTCACTGTATTTCCTCTGCAGTCATCGCTCACCGGAGTTATTTCACAAGGGCTACAGGTCTGTGTCTGCTGGCACTGGTGAGTGACTTGGGACTGCTCAGCGGGCTGGCAGGGCTGGGCAACATGGCACTGGTCGGCTTGCTGGGGAATCTGACATTGGTGGGAAAATTGATACTGCTTCTCCTAGAAAGAAGAATGAACTTTTTTAAGCTGCTGGACAAGATGGAAGCTTAATATGAACATATAAATGAATGACATGTTTTTGCATGGAAAGACCGATGACAGTTTCAGCTATTTTAATAATCCTAATAAAATTGCTTCCTTCTCCTAATTGAACATGAGTTCGCCTCTCGCTTTCATCCTTCAAGGTTATAATTCCCAAATATTAGTAGCTGCAAATGAAAAGCACGAAGATTTGCCTTTCCTGACCAAGTTGTATGTTTCATTATGGTGTTACTCTTAACATACTTGGGCAACGGGGACCTCTATTATTTAAAATTAAACGCATGCATATCCTGTTTCATTAAGTATTTTAGATGTAAAAAGAGCTCCAGTTGAACTGAGTTTTTGTTACTTCAGTTAGAAAAAAAATTTAGTACAGGAAACAGCTTGAGATATTTTCCTCCATAAATGCTTTCAGCAGTTCCAGATTCAGAGTGTACCATATATAAGGGACACATGTCTTGTTTTTATAATCAAGAAAAGTGCTATTTACAAAACCACCCACCAAAAAATTTGTCTTTTCAATTCGTTTTGTGTAAAAATTTCTATTGGTTATTCTGTTCTGAAGCTACTGCAAGAAATTAATTCTCACTCAGTAGTCAGATAAAGACTGACAGTGCTACGGATACAACAGCAGTTTTCATTATTAGTCTGAAATAATACATTCTTCGTAAAAATATAGCAAACCTTCCAACTTCTGCTCTCCTTACATACAGAAATTGTTTCATTGACTTTGAGAATGTGTCCTAAACCTCAACAAGGCAATTCTCAGGTTACCAGGAGTTCCAAACAAAAAAAACCCAGGAACATTAATTTTCTACTACCATCTGAATTATCTTTTGTAATAGAGAACATAAACAACCAGCTTACTTGATGGGGATTTAATAGCTCATATTTTCTTATTGTCTTTTCATAGATGACATTGTTTCCAGGACAGAAATTCCCCCCTCTAAGAAATGGGGATAACGGCTCCTGTAAAACATTTTAATAAAAACATCCGTAAACGTTGTCAAATAGCAAATTCAGAATTAGTGTAATTTGGACTCAAAAATCATATGGGATTTTTGTAATTCCAAGACATATATACTTTGAGATAGTTCTTTAAGATATGTACATTTGAGTGCATGCCCGTTTGGAAAAGAAGTGACTGTGCTTCTATCTAGACAACATTTGAAATAAACGTAGTAGGAACAGTTAGACATTAATCTCCGCTAGCGATACTATTGAAGCGTAGTAATGGAGCCTTAACTGCTGAGAGGTGGGAAGCCTGACTGGCGATTCTGTAATATTTTCAGCTCCTAATAATTTCTCTCACAATCAGAGGTATGGGCCATGTGATATCAAAATATTTAGCAGCCCTGGCGCAGGCAGCCGATCACTTTACCGAATCCAGATAATTAAGGAAGGAAGAGTGACACAAGCAGAACTCCAGCACTAAACAGTTTTCCTACCTGATCAGGATTCTCAATAATAATCCTTCGAACAGTGCCCTGCAGGGAAGAAAATAAGTTTCAGTGATTACTGCACTTTAAAACCTTTTCTGCTCAGAGCTCAGGCTTACATGTATTCCCAAATTAATCTGAATATGGTCATGCGCTATAAACACATTGCGATCCACTAGCCAAAATCACCTAGAAATGTTTTAAAGCCAGGGCCTTTCCACCCCAAAGGAAATAACCCATATACAGCATGGCAGTATGCAGTCTGTTACTCTCAATTTTAAGAGTTTGTTTTCTCTCAGTCACCTCTTTGCAGGTCTGAGGGAATTAGTGCCAACAGAACAGGATGCGAATCAAAGCTGGACTAGGTCTTCAAGGATCCCATGTCTCTATCCCACAGACATTCTCTTTTACATACGGTCTGTCATATTACGTACCACGGTCAGCTGGTGTAAACTGATGTACACCTAAAACACTCTTTTGTTTCACCATGGGAAGAAAATTTGCATTTGGCTAACACACCGAAATGAAAGAGGCACAGCAACTGCTCACAGACCACATCAGGTCACTATCCAATCGTTCCAAAAAGCAGTCACAAAACTCCATAATTGACACCTATGAAAAAAGATGCCCGCACGGAACATTTCCAAGTTCCTGAATGAAAAATTAAATATGGATTTCTGTAATTTAGGAAGGCGTAAGTGGCAGCTGGTTTTTTCATTTTCAAATAGATTCTTTCACTTTTTTTCCCCAGCACTGTCTACAAGCAATTGCAGTCTTCAATTTCATGGACCAACACCAGTTATAACAAATGGTACACGTTGCCTGAAGTCTTCACATCCAGTTCTTTATCTGAGAAAGCAAAAATTCCCACTGAATGTAATCTAAGGATTGGGCAATTTATTAGTTTACAGCACACCAGCTATTCTTCCTCACAGTAACACACCATTTCTTCCCTTAACCTGTAGGCAGTGCTTGGAAAGGCTGTATTGCTGCAGTTCAGTCTTGGAGACATTCTTAACTGCACAAGGGCAGCTCTGAAGTAGGTCAGGTTTCCAGCTGTGAACTGTTGCATAATTTTAGGAAGCCTGAAGCAGTTTTCCAAATCTCCCAAGAGTTAATCATAACAGCACCAGGAAAGAGAAATCAAAGTAGAAAAGAAACTGTTTCAGCAGCAATCATGATAATTAAGAAATCTCAAAATTGTAACTGCTGCAGAAAACTTAGAAAGCTGCTTATTCCTCCTCCCACACGCCATGTACCTGAGGTAGGTCCCTCAAAGAAGGGAACCCACCGACGCCAACAGAACTCTCCGTATCGGGATCTAACACCGAAAAGAGACGACACGGAGGTCTAGAACATACAGCCCAATTCCTACATTACTTTGATCCCTACAGAATCTGAACTAAATGTAAAATACTTTAAAAAAATGAACGCCCGCTGGCGTTTCCTTCACAGCAGTTACGCAGGAGGCATACCCCTGACAACCAGTACCTCCTCTGACCCAGGCGAGGCAGCTCCGAGCCGCGCGCCGAGCCTCGCACCACGGGCTCTGTCCGTCCTGGAGCACTGCGGTGCTGCGACACTACGAGTGCCACGGGAGAGCAGTAGCTGTTCTTGTTCAGAGCTCACTACCATCGCACGGCGCATGGGAACAAGATACACATTGTGTATGAAACTAAAAGGCACATTTCCAATTTACAGAAAAGCTGGACAAACCTGCCTGAACTAAATCATGCTGCCACAGGGCTGTGGAATACGTAACTCACACGGCCTAGTTTAGAGGGGATAATTTCTAAAATTATTTTATCTAGTTCCCTGTGTTCCTCAGAGGAATGCATTCAGAACTGAGAAGACTAGAGCATTTTAAGTTGAAATATACTTTTATAATATTCAAAAGAATGGTCTAGTCGTATGTGGAATATTATACACAACCCAAGAACGTTTTGCTTGGATAAAATTACGCTTATTTTTAAGACAGCCAAACTCTTTCATTTCCAAAAAACTCTGATGCAGATACATTTCCCTCGCTCCATCACAAAAAAGATTGGCCGGCCCTTCCTCCCCTACGAGCCAAGCAGCTGGACTCTCACGGGCTGGGAGAGAACCCAGAAGCCAGAAACCCTGCGAGACAGTGCCAGCCTGAACTACCCACAGGCAGTTCCTTGCTCTGCAGAAGGGACCCCAAGGCCTTCGGAGCTGTGTCCTCGGCAGCGCGAGCGCGCCGCAGGAGGTACAGTGCCATGGAGAAGGACCTCGAGCTATTTCCATAAGGGGCATAGCTCAGGCTGCTCTCTAGATCTCCTATCACGCTTTGGAGATGCAACATTCTGTAACTGGAAGAAGGAAGAGGAGAGTGGGATTTTAACTGGGAGAGTCCAGTTCAGTGGCACGACTGGGTTTGGGAATTATAATGATCTAACCAGTCTACAGAAATGGCAGGCTACGTTTGAGGGCTGTTTCAAGAAATACAGACAAATCTTACAAGCTGGTTAATATCATCCCATTTTCACAACAGGAGGGGAGAACCCTTAGCACTTCACAGAACCGCGCACAGCCATGAAAAGATCTTACTCACAAAATTTCTCACATGGATAGACGACAACTACAAAGGCTTTCAGGATCCCGCACTCTGCACTGACAGCAAACATCGTGTGTGTGCCGTTTCATGTATTATTTTTTCATGACCACGGTGAAAGGGTTCATACGTGTAAGCCATACTGGAGGAGGGTTTATTCTAAACAGCATTCTTCATTTAGATCAAGCAGATAAGAGCAAAATTTGCCATGAATTACTCCAGATGAAGCTTGCCATAGCTGGGACTAGCATTTGGCTTCTACATCAAGCATAAAACAAAGTTAGATCAAAAAAGTAAAGAAAAATAAATCCTGAACCACAAAAAATACAATCAGGTGTACCATATACACACACCAGTTTCAAATTTTCCCTCCCTCCGGCTCATTAGAAATGTACATAAACACAACAGAATGCACCAACCATCTGACTAAATAAGAAGTCAGCATATCAACAGTGACACAGATGTTTGTTATTTATCTACAAAAGCTCTGCAGAAGTAAATTAAACATTGCTCAAAGATAGCCTTTGCCTTACCAACATTAAGAAGCTTAAACTACAGCTCTAGACTGCCATTAACTGGAAATTTTAGCGTTCGGTTAAAACATCTGTGTGAGTCAGGTATCGTTACATTATTCAGTTTATGCAGCTAGATGTGATCTGCTCAAAGGGCAACTTAATCAACTCTTCGGAAACTTCCTACACTCCTCCCAGCACTTCCTTCTGACAACTCCCATTCAGCACCAAGTATGCAACTTCTGTCTACTCCCAGCTGACTTCCCTGTTTGTTACTGTTTTCTTCTTTAATGACTTCCTAATAACCTTTATTAAGCACCTTCCCTCTCCACCATTAAAACTACAACCCTCACAAAGCCTGATTTGAACTACACCCTCTTTTGTCTTTAAAGTCTAATCCAGCAAAACGCTTCAGCGAGAAATTATTTTTCACCAGCATGACTTAATGGATTTAGTGTCTAAAACACACGTTGAAAATTAAACATGCTTTGTACAGCAGAGACAGCATTTGAGTCTATAATCAAATTGTTCAGGCACTTATCGGAGTAGAGGAAGCCTGTGACTGCAGTATTTATTCTAATGAATATTTAATTAATTGAACACAATTCAGACTATCATCTAGCCTAGTTGAGCAGATCACTTATCTGGGAGGTGAGAGACCAGTGTTTACACTCCTGCCCCACATCTTGCAAAAGAGGGATTAACAGCTGTGATTTAGCGGGAATGTGTCCGTCATATCCACGTCACGTTAACACTATTGGTGAAGCGGCTCGCTTTCCAGAATTTACAAACGCCATCCTACAGAGGAAGATAGCCCCAAAACTATGCAAATATGGCTTTGAAAAGGAGCTCAGAATTTATTTTTAAACCGTTTTTTTTCTCTAATACATCCGACTGTCATTAATAGCAGTAGAAGTGGGGTTAGTATGTTATACTCAATAGGGTAACATGTATTTGTTTCAAGTTGAACTCTTACTTCTTTTTCCTGTGGTGTATAAATATTTCACTATGAAAAAGAATAGAAATTAAGACCAATACAAAATCTGATCTCCTCTTCTGTTTTCATAATCAAAGCTGTTTTTAAGTTACTGTTTCTAGTTTTGTTTTTAAGAGTTAGCTATCAATCGATAAAATTGGTATTAAAATTAAAAAATTATATTAAATTCCATCAATACCTTCAAGCCATTCCCTGAATACACAGACAGCAGCAAACCTGCTAAACTGCACTGTGAAGACTTTTAAAGCAAAGCTAAATTAACTCTTGTTACTTCCCTACCTGCTTAGTCGCATGTTATTAACATCACCGACTCAAACCATACGAAGCGCACACACCTTCGTATTCTGTTTACATGAGTAGCACCAAATAAGCATGAAAGTGTTTTTGTGAACATCCCACCGGTGGGCCTGGGAGCACCCAGAGCCTGCAGCTCCTGCTCCGGCTGGGTTTTTACAGTTCCATCGACAAAATGGGAGAAAATACTGCAAGAGAGTAAGGAATTTAGAAGTTCAAGTTAGAGTTGCCGAACAGGAAACCAATACAGGATTGACGGCTCCATTCAAAAAGCAAACGAAAAGGAGAAATTTAACGGGAAGTAAAGAGTTCTGGATTAAAGCGAGTTACCGAGGAAGGAAGCTTTCCTTACTCGCCTGAGACAGGAGTCGTTTCTGTAGCTGCCTGT